CATTCCTGCAACAAGGTAAAACGAAGGACATGCATAACATCTTTACACTCCACTTATCTCAACAGTACTTTTTTTGCCATAACTTTTTTCTTTAGTATAAGAGAAGAAATTATGTTGTACTATGTTTCTGAATGCATCATAACATATAAATTAAGCATGATATTTGCAAAATTTCCCTGTCTTCTATAGCTAATACTGGCTGTGCTTGGACTTTACTAAAATGATTCTTTGATGTATGACATCTCTATCTGTAGATCTGAAACTTTTTTTGTAAATAGTCGAAATGAAAGGATTGTCTAATCAGTCTTCAATGTTTTATCCTGCCCCATTATCCTTTAGGGCAAAATCAATACAGCATGCCTTCCCCCCCCCCAAAATGCTGCTTTACAGTTTTTCTTTTAAATGAATTTTGGAAATAGTCTGGATACAAAATGGTAAGTAGACCGTGTCAAAACTATTGTTCATCAGGCCTTCAGGTGTTTACTACCAGCCTTCATTTTCTCAGTATTATGAGACACTAGTTTCACAGTATTCCTTCCAATCACTTGAATAGAGCTTTATTTTTTTTTGACCAATGCTTGTGGTGTTTTACTGGTCATCTATTTCATCTCAAACTAAATACTCCGTGTATACTGTTTGTTTTCATATTTAAGTGTCCCTTCACACCTAAGGGAAGATCAGTATTCTCTTTCCTTATTGCTTCTTATAGTTGAGATTTTCATCTCAGTGTTCAATTGACACCTACAAATCTCCATATACATAGCGCTCTAAGTGTTACAGTAATATCTTCTGTAAAACCCTGTACTGTTCACTTTGAAACTGACCTGTAAAAGACATAATCTGCAGATTCTGCTAAAGCCAGCACCTCTAATAAAGAGATGGTTTATTAGTTTTAATATTAGGTATTAGCCTATTTTGATATAACTTTCTGCCAGGATTTTCAGCTTACTGACTTCAAAGCTTGCCTGTTACAGTAAAGGGCTCCTCTTCCTCCCTTTTTTCCATCCATTTCCAGATTCTTTCTGTTCCTTTTTTATTAAGTTTTCATGTTTCAGCCGATTTCCATGTTGGTAGCTCCTCTATGTATAAATCTTCTCTTTGCAACATTGGACACAGATGTGCGTGTGCGTGCGTGCACACACACAAGGGGAGGTATCTTAACACTTCTGCTATCACTCTTGCTTCTTCTTTCTTTCTGAGGAGAACAGGATTAAGTATGGAAACAGTCCTTGCTTCATCTACCCAACCATCTGCTTATTTCCAGCCTGGCTTTTTACATAAAGGCCAGCCTGAGTACATACATCCTATTTAAAATAGGACAATCTCCTCTTTTGTTCCAATGCTGTTAAACTTGCCACATTTGTTGCACACTGCGCCCAAACAATTAAGCTGTGATCTTATCACTAGTTCTTCTGGTCTGCGTGGCTCCAGTAAAATCTTGGGTCAGTTAGAAGGTATCTCAGCCACTCTGCAGGACTCAAATATTTGTCAGTTCAGTCCTTGGGGAGGAGTAAAATATTGCAAGATACAATGAATCAACAGACCTTAGTCAAAAGAGAGTAACCAATGGGGCAGCAAAGAGCTCCTGTTTTGTGAAAAAACAAAAACCAACTGTTTACCAGCATAGAAGCAACCTCTTCAGTTTAATGAGATTATCTCTTCTGTTGCATGTCTGAGCACAATTCCTACAACCATTGAAAAGGTTTCCCCTCCACCCACAATGAGAATTTTTCTTAGGCAGGTATGTATCTTAGCGTTCTCTCACACAACCTGAGTAGTGCTTGTGGGTACTTACGTCTGTGGAAGCTCAAAGCTGAATGCATATTCATGCCTTCCTGAATGAATAGTGTGAAGGCCTTCTTCAGAATTGTCATCATCTAGGAGGGAAAAACCCAATATGCTATTCCACCTGTAAATATTTTACACAGCATAATATATTATATAGGTTTATTTTTCAGAATAAAGGGGATTTATACACTCATTACAATGCTTAAGAACATGGTGTCCCACAAACAAGCATCTCCAATCCATTTGTATTAACTGTTAGATGTAAGGCTACAAAACTTTTACAGGTAGTTAACATAGCCAGATCCATCTTACATAAAAGCAGAGCTTATTTATTTTATGTATTATTTGCTGCTGAATACTGGCACAGTTGTAACTGCTGCCATTTCAAGCTCTGTCTGAAAGATCTGTAATGGAAATCATGTTTTCCAACATGATTTCTAGTTCAAAACTTGGGGGTGGAGGGGAAGAGCTCTCTAATAACATTAAGTGATCCGAGTATGAAGTTTGCTCTGTAAGATAAATTTAGTAATTGAGTTTCCTTTTATCTTCTGCCTAGCAACAGTGTCCAGAAATTAATCACCAACAGGGGGGAGGAAGGTGGACATTCACCACCGAGAAAGTACCAGACATTCAGGAGCATAGGAGATGGCATGCTGTCCAATTAAAGTTGTTTAGAGCTAATCTATAAAAAAACCCTCAAAGTTTAGCTGGATCTTGCTTGTATAACTAAGACCCAAAGCTTTCCTTATGCCAACAGGAAAACTGACCTTTGTTTATAGTCACAATTCCCTGTATGCTCCAACAAATTTGTGGCTTTTTCTAATATAATTACCATAACACTATAGAAATGCTGACTTCATCAAGATATAAAGTTACTTGTGAGAAAATAATTTGAGTATCTCATGTACAAAAGGATTGGAATAATACATACAGTGAGACTATGCAAAAAACAATTGCTTAAAATCTGAAACATCACGGAGGATCACAGGCGCATTTCAAAATTTGTAGTTCTCACTGTCCTACAAAAATGCTGATGCTCCAATTTCTTTAGTGCGCCAGAAATGCTGAAACAAGCCTATGGCAAGTAACCTAAAAAACACTAGAATGCCATTTACAGAAATGCATCTTCAGTGTGTAGTGTCACAAAGTAAGAATCTCGAAGATATGCTCAAAGCGCACGACAATGCGCCTTTTTAAATAGCTGAGAGCTTATTTATTAAAAGAAATAATCTTTCCCTCGCACAGAAGTTTTTTCTTCCCTTCTTCCTTTCCTTCCTTCCCTTTCTTTCTGCCAGCTCAGCAGTCCCATTGAGCCTGAGCGGCAGCAGCAGAACTGTGGTAAACAAGTGCTGAGCTGTCAATCACGGGCTAGGCTGGAGCAGGAGAGGACCGGCCTAAACCGGCGCGAGCAGATCCCCAGCCAGCCAGCCAG